AAAAAAGTTCAAATTGCAAATCCATTTGATATATTTTAATCCTGTTTTGGAAACAAGCTTCCATGGTAATAAGCTCTCACGTTTAGTTTAAAGTAAATGAATAGTATGTTTTTAGTTTGAAATACATAGAAACATCTGTTTCAGGTGATCTAAATACTATGCTAAATACAGGTGTAAACGGCTCGAAAACATTCTGTAATTGGATCAAACCACATTTGCATATTAAAAAGCGAAGGACCGCACACTCGCATTTCATTCAACTACACAATGAAAATAATTTGGTGTAGGATTTAAATTTAAACAATTTTCACTCAGAAATTGCTAAATTTCATAAATAATTTACAACATTGAAAACACTTTTCGCTACAACACTTAAACTGTAAACGGTAAACAATGTGATTAAACATTTTGGACATACATACTGTATATGTTTAAATATACAGATGGATGTTATATTTTAAGATACATATGAAATAAATGTATAATCAGACCCACCTGCAGGCCTCTGGACCCTTGAGTACCAACTGGACCTTCAGGACCCTATCAGATGGTACAATATAATTAAACATTTGAAACGTATTACTGTGTCCTTTACATATTGGAGGAGTGTGCAGAAACTGTAACTGTAACATCTGAAGTTTTACACACCCGGTCTCCTTTGATTCCTGGAGTGCCACATTCTCCTCTTTCACCCTATAGACGGTCAGAAAAGATCATAGTCACGACAGTCTCATATGATTGTGTGCTTCAAAATAAATATATTTTGAATAGGTGCAGGGATTTTGTACCTTCTCTCCTTTGTAGCCTGGTTTCCCCTGAGAACAAAACAGTAAGACATTATTTTTTATTATTTTTATTTATTTATTTATTTTTATTTTTATTATTTCTTTTAATCTTGCATATTGGTCAATGAGTTGACACTAATCTACTGTCTGGATCTATTAAATTATTTAAAAAATACATAAAATACAGTTCATACATACATGCATACTTGACAACAATTTAAACTTGTGAATTAAGGTTAATTTTAATGTGTGTTTTTTTTTGGCTTAATGTCAATAATGTCTAAGCAGAGTAACTGTCTGGAAATTGTAATGAATAAATCTTGGAAAAAAATTCAAGTAGTTTGAAATAATCTTTTATTAATGTTACAGTAAAGCAGTTTTGTTTTAAAATAAACAAAATCTGCCAAATAAAGGTCAGTGTGATGTAATAAAAAAAAGGAAACCATTATACCATATGACAATAAAACCATAAAACAGGAAATAACATCACAACCAGTGAGTGGTATACACACACACACACACACA